GGACCTCAGGTTGAGCCCAGCCTCTAAATGCCCACACATGCTGACCCCCAAACAGCCCCATTGTGCAGGACAGGACTGAACAGTGTTTGGAATGATCCGTGCAGCTCCCAGGCTGTATTTTGGGGTCAGGGCTCTGTCTATAAAAGGCCTCGAGCCCACAGAGGGGCTGGGAGGTGGGAAGGCAAAAGGAACTGTATTTACTGACCATCTCTTGTATGCTCGGTGCACCACATGCATCCACTCGCTACTTAACCTGTCTTGGCCTCAGTTTTGTCTTCTGTGAAGTGGGGACAGTAGTGTGCCTGCCTCACTGGGGCGTCGAGACAGCTCACTGAGATGGTGCATATCTAGAAACATGAGTGCGTATTGTTAATAATCTTCAGAGATTGGGTAGCTCCAGGGGGTGGGAATTAGCTTGATGTCCGAAGTCAGAGGAGACAAATCACTTGCCACTGTGAGATCCAAGCTGGCCCCACCATAAGTTTTCAGAAACCCCTTGGAAAGGGCCAGCAAGACCGGAAGATGTGGAGCCCATGTGGCTGTTCTTGGGTGAAAGGGCCACCGTACGGCTTGGAACTGCATTTCAGATCTGAGGCGGCCAATGCGGCGAGGGTTCCAGAAAGGGTAGACCATGTGGTAAAGAGAGTGGCATCGCCCTCTGGTCCTGAACGCCTCCACCTTCTCCTGCAGGGGACAAGCTAGATGCAGACTACATTGAGCGCTGCCTGGGTCATCTCACACCAATGCAGGAGAGCTGCCTCATCCAGCTGCGACACTGGCTGCAGGAGACCCACAAAGGCAAGGTGGGTGCAGAGCTGGGGCCTATCAGACCATGTTCAATGACAGCCACTCACCCCAGGCACTGGGGGAGGAAGGGCCAGGTAAACAGGCTGATGTAATCAGCAGTACTGAAAACTTGTATTTTGCCTTCTTTTTATCATGTATCGTCTCATGTATCTGTAATGCATGTTGTGCATACCGTTGATTACAGGGTTTCTCATCCTTTGCACTGTTGACATTTGAGGCCCGACAGTTCTTTATGGGGTGAGGTGTGCCCTGTTGGGTGTCGCGGTATTCTGGCCTCCACCACTAGATGCCGGGAGCTCTTCTTCCCCAGTTGTGACAACCCCAAATGGCTCTAGACTCTAAGCCCCATAACAGGAATGTCCACCATGCATGTAGGTCCCAAGCATGGACTTGACCTTCAGCTCTGTTGAATGAGGAATTTGAGCTTGCCCTTCCTCCCTATCCCCTCCCCATGCTGCGTGTGTGTGGGGTGCAGACAAAGAAGTTGCTTTCATGTTGGGCTGTGATTTAACCTGTCTGCCCATTTTCTCATCTGTGAAAGGGGGATAATGCTAGCATACATCACCTAGACTGAATTACAAGGGATGATCTACATAAAATGCCTAGAGTCATGTCTGGCTTGGATGAGCACTCAGGGCAGGGGAGCCTTTACTGGGGCTGGATTTCTCTTGCCTGTCAATATTTGCCCGAGGGAAGGAAGGAGAGCTGGCAGGGACTTGTCACTTCGGCCTGTGAATTAGACTCTGGGTTATATGTGGTAGGAACACAGCTTGAGTCAAGGCAAAAAAAAAAAAAAAAAAAAAAAAAAAGAGGAGGGGGCTATTTATTGGCTCATATAACAAACTGTTGAGAGGGATGTATTAATTTCTTAAGGCTGCTGAAAGAAAATGCTACAAACAACAGAAACTTATCCTCACAGTGCTGGAGGCCCGAAGCCTGAAATCAAGGTGTGGTCAGGGTTCTGGAGCCTGCCTTTTCTCCAGCCTTCTGGAGGCTCTGAGAGACAGTCTGTATCATGCCTCCCCCTTCCTGGCTTCTGGTGGCTGCCACAGTCCTTGGCTTGTAGATACGTCATTCCAGTGTCTGCCTTCACCATCACGTGGCCTTCTTTCCTCCATGTGTCCTGTGTCTGTGTCCAAACACAGGAGGGCCCACCTACTCCAATATGACCTCACTTTATCTAATTATATCCGGATAGACTCATTTCCATATAAGGTCCCATTCTGAGGTTCTGGGTAGACATGAATTTGGAAGGGACATCATTCAGCCCAGGGGGCCATGCAGCCTGTCTCAGGGATGTCCCGAATCAGGACTCCCATGCGGTCGGGGCCTCTGAGCTCTTGTATCTGTTTACTTCTGCTTCATCCCCGCCAGACTTACTTCCTCATTGAGCTTGGAGCTGGGGCTCCCCATAACCTGCAGGCCCACCTTTACCACCGCAGAGAAAGGGCTTCACGTCCAGTTCTTCTGATTTAAATTGTCTAAATGCTCTGATTGGATTGTGCCACCGCTGAGGCCATGGGAGTGGAATGCTGACTGGCAACATCAGCTAAAACCGGCGCTGGTGCTGGGGCGTGGGGAGGACACGTAGCTCCCCAGAAGCAAAGAGATGCCTGAAGAGGGAGAAATGTCTGGCAGCCCAAACTCACAGATTTTCACTACAGCCCGCCCCTTGGCTGTGTCGTTCGCGGTGGAGTGTGTGGTCCTTTTCCCAGCTATTTATTTTGTAGAGAAGACAGGAGAACTCATTTTCCACAGTCTTCTCTACTGGGTGAGGGACTACCGTTCTACAGGCTTTACCCTTCTTGTCTCAGATTCCCAAAGATGAACACATCCTTCGGTTCCTGCGGGCTCGTGACTTCCACCTGGACAAGGCCCGGGAGATGCTGCGCCTGTCCCTGAGCTGGCGAAAGCAGCACCAGGTGGATTTCCTCCTTCAGACCTGGCGACCCCCTGCTCTCCTGGAGGAATTCTATGCGGGGGGCTGGCACTACCAGGACATAGGTGCGTCCCTTTACCTACAGAACGCATAGGGGGCCACTTTTCACATTGGGATCTTATTATTTTTCCTTTTGACTCTTCTGGGCATCTGGAGATGCCCTTGGGATTCACCCAGCCATGAGGAAAGTAGGGCTGGAAGAGACATGTGGGCTCGAGGCAACATTTCTCCATGCAGAGGCAGTGTTAGCCCACCCTTACTTCTGATCATGGGGACCCCCACACATAATGGCTGCATGGGCACGCATCAGCGCCCTGGGGATGCCATAGCAAATTACCAAAAACCGGGTGCCTTAGAGATGTATCTGCCCACAGTTCCGGAGGCAGAAACCCCAAATCAAGGTGTGGGCAGGGCTGTGCTCCCTGCGGCGAATCTCTCTCTGCCTCCTCCAGCTCCTCGTGGCCCCAGGCGTTCCTTGGCTTGTGGCTGTATACCCACACTCTGCCTGTCTTCACATGGATTCCTTCTGGGTGCCTGTGTGTCCTCTCTTCTTATAAAGACCTCAGGTCACTGAATTTAGGACCCACACTGATCCAGTAGGATTTCATCTCGAGGTCCTAAACAATTTGATCTGCAGACTATTTCCAAGTAAGATCACATACAGAGGTTCTGGGTGGACGTGAATTTTTGGAGGACACTATTCAACCCGCTACAAATAAGTTCTCTCTCAGTTTTTTTTTTTTTTTAAAGATAGGTCTTCTCTGTAGTTTTTTTTTTTAATCTTTATTTATTTTTGAGAGAGATACAGAGTGTGAGCAGGGGAGGAGCAGAGAGAGAGGGAGACACAGAATCTGAAGCAGGCTCCAGGCCCTGAGCTATCAGCACAGAGCCTGACGCGGGGCTCGAACTCACGAACCATGAGATCACGAACTGAGCTGAAGTCGGATGCTCAACCAACTGAGCCACCCAGGCGCCCCTCTCAGTTTTTTATTAAACTGCCCTTGATGTAAAAATTTGTATATATTGATTAGGGTGAGAGGTTGATTCTCCTAAAGAACCAGTTGGAACACTTTAATATATAGTCAATTCTCATTATTCATGGATTCCATATTTGTGAATTTGCCTCCTCACCACAATGTATTTGTAACCCCCAAGTCAATACTCAGGGTGCTTTTGCGGTCAATTATGAACACTTTTGGAGTGGTGAAAAGTCAGAGTCATCTGACCTGTGTGTCCCCTGCTGAGGTTGAATGAGATGTCCATCTTTTTTTCAGTTCTTACACTGTTAACAAGAGTCCTTTTTAAAGTCTACTTAGTGCTACATTTTTTTTTTTTTTTTTGCATTTTGAGGGTGATTCTGGTGCTTAAAATGGCCCCCAGGCATAATGCAGGAGTGCTGGCTAGTGTTTCAAAGCACAAGAAGGCTGTGACTCATGGAGAAAATGTTAGATAAGCTTCCTTCAGGCTTAGTGTGATGCTGCTGGCAATGAGTTCAATGTTAATGAATCAACAATATATACTCAATAAGGTGTCCTTAAATAGAAACACACAGAGAACAAGGTTATGTATTGGTCAGTTGACAAAAATGTTGTGTCTAGAGGCTCGCAGGGACCTTACCCCATATTTTTCCTGGAAACGATGCTTTAGTACTTCCTGATTCAGTGTTCAAGGTGACTTTGGAAAACATCACGACCATGAATAACAAGAATCCATTGTATTAGTATGTAATTCCTTATTTTTCCTATTTGCTTTGCCTGATAGAAAGCTAAGAACCAACGTCATCCACTCTCTCCATACTCCTTCATAACATGGTTCATATTTTCTTTTTTAAAAAGCTTTAGGGGTGCCTGGGTGGCTCAGTTCATCCAGTGTCTGATTCTTTTTTTTTTTTTTAATGTTCATTTATTTATTTTGAGAGTGAGAGAGCCTAAGTGAAGAAGGGGCAGAGAGAGAGAGGGAAAGAGAGAATTCCAAGCAGGCTTTGCACTGTCAGCGCACAGCCTGATGCGGGGCTCAATCCCATGAACTGTGAGATCATGGCCTGAGCTGAAACCAAGAGTCGGTTACTTAACCAACTGAGCCACCTAGGCACCCTAAGCATCTGACTCTTAATTTCAGCTCAGGTCATGATCTCACGGTTCATGGGATCGAGCCCAGCGTTGAGCTCTGCGCCGACAGTGTGGAACCTGCTTGGGATTCTCTCTCACCCTGTCTGTCTCCCTGCCCCTCCCCAACTTGCACGTGAGCACGTCTCTGTCCCTCTCTCTCAAAATAAATAAATAAATAAACATTAAAAAGAATTAAAATAAAAAGCTTCAAGATAAACGTGTAATGTTAGGACAGGTTTTCAGAGATGTTGCTAAGGCCATACAGAGTTCCCACATGCCCCTCATCCAGTTTCCCCTGTGATGTCAGTCTGTGTCCTTGACTCTTGAACACATTGCTTCTATCACCATAACTGGCATTAGTCCCTCTTGGGAGTGGGTAGAGCATTCGCAAATAAATGGACAGGAGGGGCAGGCTGAGCCACAGCCTGGCGCTGCCTTCTCCGAAGAGAAGTTTGGGCCTGCCCTCTCACCAGCACTCCTGAAATAATGTCCCTTCTCTTTATGGGGCCTCCCCTGCAAAGATGGCCGCCCCCTCTATATCCTGCGCCTGGGCCACATGGACACCAAAGGCTTGATGAAGGCCGTGGGGGAGGAGGCACTGCTGAAGCATGTGAGTAGGGGTCCTCTCTCCCCGGACCCCAGGGCTGCCTGTGGGGGGAGCAGCCAAGTGAATGTTTGCCAGCACATTCTCTACTTTCCAGGTTCTTTCCGTCAACGAGGAAGGACAGAAGAGATGTGAAGGGAACACAAAGCAGTTTGGCCGTCCCATCAGGTAAGAACCCCTGCCAGGAGCAAATGCCCCTGAAAGAGTAAAAACAGCCAAGCTTCACTGGGCATGGACTCAGCACTTTACAGGAATGTCCTCATTTAATTTGTTCAGTGATCCTGTGAGGCAGGACCTGTTATTGTCCCTGTCCTTTATGGAGGGGGAAACTGAGGCTCAGAGTGGCTGTGCTCATCCCAGGTTGTTGCTAAGTGGGTAAGTTACTGTCTGCCTCGGTCTCAAGGATGTTACGCCCGGGGCCTTGCTTTTTGAGGCCAACTCTGCCACCCCAGGTAGCACCTTGACTCTGCCTCCCAGGCAGGCGGACTCAACAGGTGTCATGGCAATCCGGTAACCCTCGTCCGACTTCCCCAGACTCCTCAGTTTCCCACATGAGTACTTAGGATGGCACGAACCTTTCTGAACTATAGCTTGCTCGTCTGTAATGTGGGAATAACATCATGAGTCCGAAGGCGTCTTCATGGATTACCAAAAGCCACGTCTGTTGAGAGAGAACACAAATGTGTGTGTGTAACACTTGCTGTGCAGCAAGTGCTCGTTGAAGTACCTGCCTCACATCCTCCTTATTACAGTCTGGGAGGGAGGGGCCAGTGGGACCTGCCATTTTTTATCCCCAAATGGCCTGATCTTTGTGAAAATCGAGTCCCTTTGCTGTTTGGAGCCTTTCCTAAGGGGATGTACATTGGCTGGGCTGGGAAATCGATCAATAAATCAGGATCCTGATCCAAAGTGGAATTCACCTGAGATGGCTCAGATGACAGGGTGTCAGGAGGGACTTCTTGCAGCGGTGTGGATGGAAGGATCAAAGGCAGGATGGAGGGGCTCCCAGGGATTAGCCGCTGCAGTAGAACACTCATTTTCCTAATGAATTAGTCCTGAGGAAATGGAGGCACAGAGAAGTTAAGTAACTTGGCCAAGGCCACACAGCAAGCGGCAGCACTGAGATTTGAATCCAGGCCGTCTGGCTCTGGAGTGAGTGCTGTTGGCGCTTACACTCTATTTAGCAGTCGGAGCCTTTTCAACGATTGGTAGCAATGACTTGCTTTGAAGGAGTGCACTCTATGGCCTGTCCTTGCAGAGAGCTTCACATATACTATCTCATTTAATCCTAACAATTGCTCGAGATGTTACTGTCACTGCCACTGTCCTGATGAGGAAGCTGCCTGTGTCACACAGCTCTCGGAGGATGGAGGTGACACTTGAATTTGGGTGACTAGCCTTAGAGACCATGCACTGAGCCTCCTCACCACATGGCCTCCCCAGCCTAGGGTTGGGGTGGGGGGTAGGATCCACGAGAGTGTCCTACAGCCTCCGCCCCTCTACTCCCAGCCCTGGCTTCCTGAGCTTCTCTGTCCTGTCTGCCAGCTCCCGAGCCCCCACCTCCAACCGAGGCTGTCGGGGGGGGCCCTGGGATGTGGCAGAGCAAGCTGCAGTGAGGGGGCCATCTCTGCTGCAGCTCCTGGACCTGCCTGGTGGACCTGGAGGGTCTCAACATGCGGCATCTGTGGCGGCCGGGGGTGAAGGCCCTGCTGCGGATGATTGAGGTGGTTGAGGACAACTACCCTGAGACCCTGGGCCGGCTGCTCATCGTGAGAGCCCCCCGCGTCTTCCCGGTGCTCTGGACGCTGGTGAGAGCAGGCGCCTGCGCCAGACCCCTCCCCCGTGCAGGCTGAGATGGGGTGGGGGAGTTCCCTCTGCCTGCTGGTTCAGTGTCATTTCTTCTTCTTCCTTCCTCCTCCTCCCTCCTCCTTCCTCCCCCCTCCCTTCTACTTCCTCCTTCCTCCTCCTCCCTCCTCCCCCCTCCTTCCTC